GTTTCAATTTATACATTTTTAAGAAATCACTATACTATATAAATTGAGAAATTTATCGAAAATATAATTCACTTAAATAATTTTTTCAATTTTCAATTTTTAATTTATACATTTTTTAGAAAGACTAGCTCCCAACTGACTCGAGACTACAACAAGAAAACTTAACTCTCTTAACTAAGTTAACAAGCTAAGAGGTGCACGCTATCAACCATGTGTATTAGGAGCTGTGAAACTAATAATACAGATAAAATATTTACTAAAAGCATAAGAAATAAAGAAAAACAAAAAAAATAAAAATACATAAATGAGAAAATTTAAGAGGAGTTTTTCCCACCAAAAAAAAATCAAGAGCAATTTATTTCTTTATGGGGAGTGGAGCAGCTATTATAGGGTAGTTATGATCGGTATTTTTTAAAAATAATTCTTAATTTTTAATTGTAGATATCAGAGATGATTTTGCAAGTTGAAAAGGGCATTTTGGGAAAAGCAAATTTATCACCCAAGAAGTCATTTCTCTTTATATTGTACTATAGATACAAGAACTAAACAGGGAGGGGATTGGGGATACAAACGTTGTGAATTGCTTAATGATACAAATAAGAGGGAGGAGAAAGTCCATCGCTGGAGCTAGGCATAAGTTGATCAAAACTCAGCTCGTTCCCTTGCATTTCTTGATCCTGCAAAAACATTACAGCCTACGGATTCCACTTCATCAATGTCGTAGGTATCTCGCTCCCCTCCTCGATGTTTGACCCCTCTATACATCTAGAAGTTAGGCTTGTGGATGAATGATCATCTAACTTCTCAACGGTAGCAGTGTTGGGCTTGGAAAGACAAAAAATGTGGCTGATCACGGCAGCATCCTGGTGTCGCTTGGCCTTTTTCTTTTGTCCCTTTCTGGCGCGACTCCTCTTTTTTGGACTCCCCATCTTAGAAGGCGTGAACAAGGTTTCAGGAAATTTGTAGTCTTTGGCCTTGTGAGTGCCCATCATAGGTGATCTTTTCCTTCACTAGTACAGTCATCCCTGAGGTAGCAAAATATTTACAGAAACTTAAGGTTTTCCCTTAACAGAGATCCGAGTAAGACAACTCGGAAATCTTAAGGGACTGATTACTTCTCAAACCGTTGTAAAATATATGAAATTTCCTCAGACCCTTCTCCTTGGCTTGTCTAGAATCCTTATTGTTTAGAGGGCTAGTAGCATCATCATCCCCCTTTTATTTTTAAAAACAAAATCATTGGATGTAGTGATAAGGCTCTCTATTGTCGTCTAACTAATAACTTCCATGGTGGGTAAGATGGTGTCGGACAATTTAGTGTCTGCAGTACTCCTCTTGCCCTTGATCTTGCTCGCTTTACTTCTCAACCCCTCCACCTTTTCCATCTCACGAAGGATGTCCGGGTTGCTAGGCTCAGCCTTAGCTGCTTTGGTAAGGTCTTCATGGGCCTCTTCAAATTGATAGAGCTTGATCTCGACTAAAGCCCTTCTGTAAAGAGCTAGGATTGTTACCATCAAGCTTAATGACTAATGAGCATAGCTCCTTAGTTTGTTCGAAATCACAGACTTTTAAAGCACAAGCTGCAAGGTTTAACTCAAGGGATATGACAAGGTTCCAAAGAAAAATACAATCTTCATTTTGAGGCAGAACAAAGCACAAAAATTTCAGTCCTCTATCATACTTAGCCCCAGCAAGAACGATTTACCTTTCTTGAAGTGAGAATTGCTCTCCTCCTTCAAAACCTTTGCTTGATTGAGGATGTTCCAAGAGCAATTATTCTTGGAAAAGCTTACAATGCTTTCGTTATAATCATCGTTCAAATGGGTATACAAAAGGGCACTCATTAAAATTTGGCAATCCATGGCTACTTCTAAAGAAAGGAAAAAAATTAACTGGTTCACACAAAAAACAAACAAAACATACAAAATAGAGCAAGAGCAACCCACAAATGGGGATAACGGCAATGGCCAATTGGCCAGGCCTAATTATAAACCAATAACAGCCACCACCACTAGTGACCAGTCCAGCTCGAGGCACCACCACCAAGATAGAAGAAGGCAGAGGTAACGGGCCAGATCAGGGTCAACAACTCACCTTGAGCACCCACACTAAAATCCGACAGGGCTCAAACGAACTCGGTAAGTGAGATAGAGCGGTTTGATGACCGTCTATCAAATCTCCGCCAGTACCAAGACATGCGCTCCTTAGAATAGGCGACATGGGTGACGATTGATGCATCAAACACCTTGGGCCGTCCGCGATTTGATCCGGAAACAAAGAAGCAATGGACTCGCCGGCGATCGAGAAGGTAAATGTCATACTCTGATCGCCGACTTTCCATCGGAGGACGTTAGAGGGAAAGCTGGTTTTGGAAAAACTTCATGGGTGATTTGGGGGTTTTGTTCTTTCGTGTGGGGCGCGTACAAAATTTTTAATTTTTAATAATAGTTAAATAAATGGACTACTCAATTATTGTTCAAATTGTTCTTTTAAAAGTACAATATAGTATGGCTTTTATCTTTATTTTCATAAATCGAACAGTAATGTAATGAATCAATCCGTCTACGTATGGACTATATATAGAGTATAAATTAATTAAGATTATGACTTTTTCCCCCTTCTCATAAACATCATTTAGAGGGATACTAATTTATCTATCTTATTGCACAAGATCATAATTTGCCTCTTTTGATTGAATGCTTCCAACAGTGCGGATACTACGCAATTTTTATTTAATTAATTAATTTACCTAAAGAAATCGTGGAGTAATTAATATAACCGTGCGTGGCACAGACCTAACCTAGTAAAGTACTATAAGGGAGTCAATGTGTGATCATGATTTTAATTTGATAAGTCAATGATATGTGCATTTGTTAGATAATCAGAGTAATTGATACTTTTTTTTTTTTTTTACAAACATTAAGAGTACACGGAACAATTTCCCTTCTTTTAAATGATACATTACTTTAGTCAACTTTGTCAAATGTATAAAATCAACTATTTAGGACTAATATTTACAAATGGTTCTTTTTTTTTTTTGGGACAATGAGAACTTCATAAATAAAGGAGAATTACAACATAATAGAGCTAAAACAAGAAAGTAAAGACAACCAAACACATCTCGCTAAACACACAACTACAACAAGAAAAACCTTGAAAACTGAAGCAGAGCCCACACACCCTACCAAACCCATGTACACGGTTTGCCAGTTACCCGAAGAGGGAAACCGAAGTGAAAGAGTAGACCTAAGAAGTCGCGCAACAAACCAATTACCACGGAGCCTTGGATAACCTAAAGGTTCCTACCAAAACCTTTTCTTGGACCAATCGTCACCAAACGGACCAAGTCCACAGAGATGGACAGAGAGTAGTGCAAGCCATCACTAAAGAAGGGAACCAAAACTTGCAATGACACAATGCAAATTCACGAAGGACGTAATGTAGAGACAAAACACCCGAAAGTCAAAAGCACCCTATTGCCAGAAAAAAGACCCATAACACGACTCCACTCCTAGGGATCGAAAAGCATATCCACCTCCTAAAAGTCCAGGAGTCAAACCAAGAGAGCCGTATTTTTTCACGACTCTAGTATGAGGAGCCTTGCACCAATATGCAAGTTCCTTTCTTGCAATTCTACGTATACAGAATACAAGAAAGTGGAGAACTTTGCTTACCCCAAACATTAAAGATGGGGAGCCTCCTTCAAAACTGAAATTTTTAATGATGACCGACTTTGTCATCACCAACACCGACACTGGGATGATAGGAAGTGAACGAATACCCAAATCATCCCGCAACCAAGAAGCAACAAGAAAAGCAAACAAATCTACCCCCTCAAAACTACCTTTTCCCTGCAAACACCAAAAACAAGGAACACTTTCTACTTGCACAAATAACTTCAGCCTCTAAAAACTATCACACACAAAGTGGACAATGCCCATACTGTCAATGAGAGGAGCCACAACTTCAGTGTGAACACTCCTCGTAACACAAACCCGCCCCAAAAGAGTAACCAAAAGGACCAACAAACCAACAACCCAAGTATTGTTAAACCGTACTACCCTTAAATCCAAGGGCCTGATCAACCAGACTCCGGAACAACATCCACACTTCGTTAGCCTCCAAACAAACTAACCTAAGCAACCCCAACTCATAAACACATAGAGCAAGGGAATTATTGAAAACTAGAGACCCGAACAAGAACATAAGCAAAGAAAGCAGTAAAAACATACTTAAACTAAGAAAAAAAAACAACTAAAACAAACCAAAGCAGAGAAAACAAATACTCACAAACTCACTAAGCAAACTCGGTGAGACTTAAGAAGAAGCAGAGTACCCACAGACAGCGTTACCGGCAGAACCAGAACCAACCATTACCACCCATTGTCAAGGCCAACGCGAGAAGACCGCCTCACCTAAATCTAACCTTTTATTAAGGGGGAAAACCCTAGTCTTAACTTCACCTTCACCGTCGGGAACAAATAACCAAATTCCTTTCAACGGCGGCGTTAAGAGTAGCCTTGGCTCCTCGAATCGTTGGACAATTAGAATCAAAACACTTGACGACACCAACAAACTTGCTTAAACTTCCGATGAACTTAAACGAACAAACCAAACTGCAATCTTCCGTGCTTTCTCCACCAAGGAACCAAAACAAAATAACAAAAAAAACTGAAAGGAGAAGAGCTAGACTCGCCGGCGATGGCTAAGAGAATAGCGCCGATCACCGGCAAGCAGGGGATAAAAAAGGTGGAAAAGGTGGGAGGATAAGAACAGGGGTATGAAGTTTCTATAGAGAGAAGCCGTGGGTTTTTCGATTTTTTGAGTATTATCTTATGTTTAGGCTGGTCAAATTTGTTTAGTGAACCACATAAATAGTAAATGGGACAATCAAGTAGAGATACATATTAGTTGCACTAAAAGAAAATTTTTAAGAAAAAAAAAAATAGAGATGACATATTTTTAGAATATATTATGTCAACTTTAGTAAAATTAACAAGATATTGTATAAGTTGTATTTAATTTAAAAATGCATGTTTGTAACTTGTCATTTTTGCATTTCCTATTCCATGCCAAGTAGCTGCACAGGTACATACAGATTTGAGATCCGATTGTAACAAGTGAAATCCATTGTTCAACCCAATAATGCAGATACAAGCAAATTATCAGATTCACTAGACCCTCTTCTCAAGTCCTCAATTGTTAGATTCTACTAACATCAAACCCTTGCTATATTTGGAATGATGAACTCCTTTGAAAACCGCACATCATCTTTCTATTGCTGGTCCTTTCATACCTAGGTACCCTCGGCTAAGCCATTGACAAAACTATTGACCAAAATAGTATATACCTTGATGGCTATGAAGTATATACAATAGCATGTATACATGTCTGAGTATTTAAGCAATAGGCCTCATGGACACAAATAATGGACAGGGGCCATCAACAATTCTAATATATTTTCCCTGCTTGTACAATAATGTGATACAACTCGAAGTCATTAAAGAAGATACCATGAAGGATGTATCATAATCAAAGTTGTTGTGATCACTGATTTTCAATCAAAATTTTCCTGCTCTTACGAGAATATCAGGTGCTCATAACAAGCAGTCGTCTTCATATCCAGATACCGACAGACAAAAATTTGGCAAATTTTTAGTAACACGATGAATAGGAATTGCACAAATTTGTTGCATCAAGTTCTTACCAATTTCATCTGAAATTGCAGCAAAAAGGACGGCCCTTGGCTAGATGAGCCCACAAGCAAAACATCTGTCTTGGGGATTGATAATGTGCAGTGTAATAGCCTTGCATGCACCCATACTGGCAAAACTTCCAGTTGTGGGAATATTGGACTTGTTGAGAGCTGTTGAACTGCTGAACCCACATGCCCATGCTGACATCTTCCATCTTGAACAACTGCAAGCAACATTTGAGAAATTAGCTAGCCTTAATTTGGCAGACTGCTATATGGAAACTAAAATAATACAACTGATGCCACTGACCCTTAAGCCTTGGTTTGCATGCTGGTCTCCAACGAATCTAGCAATATCATTTGAGATTATATAAGCTGGGCCATTAGCATAAGGAGGATATATTTCTTCTGGCCACTCCTGTTACACAATGACGATCTCTTTAAGCATGGAAACAGCAAATATATTATTATCAAACGCTCAGCCAGCCCACTACAGCCACTGTAGAAGATTGAGAAGCAATCATTGTTGGATGAAATGTATGTGATATAAACTCCACATGATAGTAATAAAAAATAAAAATAAAAAATAAAAAATAAAAAAAAACTAAAACACAACTGATCTACATATTTGTGATTCTCTATTCTTGTATAGGCGGTACACTCATATCAGGCATAGAAAACTTTTTAAGGTGCTGAAACACATAATGATGCAAATAAAAGGTTAGTTAAAAAAATTTAGCATTTAACAAAACTTATACTTTGTATATTAAGTCAATAGCCAATGTTATGTTGTCAATGAGTGCCCAACTGCTGCTGGATATTAAACAATAGATATTAGGCTTCCATGAGGTTTCAGGGCCCTCATTCTTCAAGATGAGTACATTTATGGAATTGTTTCCAGCACTTTATACTTGATTGCATTAAGAGTTGTTGTTAAAGCAAAAGTGGGATCAATCATTAATGACGTTATCTCTCATGCACAAGCACAATAACTTGATCTTTTACTTTTCCAACAATTCCAAGTCACATTGAAGTTCAACTACAGGGTATCTGAGGGAAAGTCTGAATTGCAAGCAGCCTGAGGGGCATAGACTTATGTTGTGAATCCAGTGAAGCAGTTGGATTCAGTTTTTGAACTTCAATGAGGTGAGAAAACTTCTAAAAACTTAAACTCAAGCCCCTGCCATCCAAGCGCTGAGATAGACCCTGGGAAGTGTTTTCAATGAGGTGCACTAAGGCCAGGCTACAATAATTTCACCTCAGTCCTAATATTTTGGTTCTGACAGAAGAATTCAGGAGGCACATCCTTCTAGCCTACGCTTTCACCTAGGTCTAGGATCTCCTGTTGCGCTAGTGCATATTCAAAATGCTTAAGCGAGCCATGCATATTCAAAATGCTGAAAGCTAATCAGAAGGTACTGATCCATCAAAGAGTGATAAATTCAAGCATAATATTAGGACTGAGGTGAAATCCAATATCTTGTTGCCTGCTCCAAACTATCTGTGATCCATTTTCTTTCTTTAACAAATGTAAATGCCTTGAGATACAACAACCTAAATTACACCTGTGCCTCATAAAGAAGGTTCCTACCAAAGTCCCAAGACAATTGAAAACAAACCCAGTGATCCACATCAAAGTACCGAAATCAAATAAAAAGTTAAACTAATAGATGATTTCAATAAGAAAAGAGGAACAATAAAGAGACAGTGTATCATCTTGATTTGCCGACTCTAGGGAACGATCTGAAACCTAAACGAAGAAATTCTGAGCAAATTACACATAGAAACTTCATAGTTTTGCAATAGCATTCAATTCTAAATGGATGAGGCTGATCCAATTCCATATAAGACCAATATTTCTGCCTCCCTCCATCTCTTCTTTTTTTTTCACAAATTATATAGCATTTGATATTTTACACTAATAGTTGCTTCATATTTCTCACAACAGAAAGATAACAGGTACTGCAAAATTACTATCTTGTCATTTAATACTGCAAGAATCAAAGTTACTGTAATCAAGAATTTGTACCTCGAAAGAGACTGCCCATTTTCCGCGTCTAAGAGGTCGGTGTAAGAGATTTAAATTCCCCATGTAAAGAGACTTCTCTGGAGCAATAGCCTCAATTTGTTTCAGAACAACGTCCAATCTCACAAATGTATCATCATCACATTTCATTATGTATGCAGCAGTAACATTTTTAACCTGAAGTATGATTAATTAGCCTTTAAGAGACAGAGGAAAATACACAAAGCATTCGAGGGTTTGAAAGCAATTATGATTAATAAAAAAATACATCAATGATGAACTCCAGAAGAAAGATAGCTCACCCCATACTCGCATATAGCAATTGTTTTAAGAACTACAAGTTCATAACGATCAAGGAAAGGCAAAATCACAATATCACCAAAATAGGCAGCTTCTTTCTTCAAAACTGCATTGACCTCCTTTCGTTGACTCTGCAAAGACATTATGTTAGGTAACAAAGTAATATAGAGGAAAATAAACAGGAAAACCATAAAGACACCCAATGAATTGAAAGTAAAGCATTGAAATTATAGTTACTACACTAAATCAGGTAAAAGACAAGCATTCCTCAAAAAATAAATAATTTTTTTTTAGAAAAAGGTAAAAGACAAAGCAGAATACTTGAAACATTGAACTGGGACAAATGACATCAACAATTTCTTGAGTACATCTATAGCTCAAGGAATTCGCTTGTGTGCAAACACTTTTGAATAAGAAAAAAGAAGATACATCAGTCAATAATATATACTGTAACTAGCATTTCACCAAGAAAAATTTGCTAGTTCAGCTATGAGCAGGAAAAAAGGAAAACAGAGAAATTCAAGCCCCATTAACATTAAGGCCTTGTTTGGTTGCAATGGAAAATAACTTCCCACGGTAATTTACAATTCATGAGAAGTTATTTCATTCATGCAATTCCTAGGAAATTAATCTAACTTGTTTGGTAAATATTAGGGAAATCACAATTCATGGAAATTTTAATTGACCAAGGGGGACCTAGGTAATTCCATTCCTACATTATGTGGGAACTTCAAATTCCCATGGAAATCTAACTTCCTCCATTTTCCACTTTTTTGGTTAACCAAACAACTCACCACTTTTGCATTTTCAAGGAATTTTGTGTGCCCATGGGAAATTAGTGTAACCAAACAACACCTAAGTGTAGACTCCCTCAAGCGTCATAAAAAATTTAGGGAAACAAAGGAGATGAAAGAAACAGGACTGTATTATCTATCATTTTTTTCTTTTTTTCTTTTTTTTTTTTTGGGAAATCAAATACATTATAAGTATTCTTGCAAAGCTGGTAACTTATGATTATCAACATTGAAATTTGTAAGGATGGCAGCATTCAACTTGAAATGTCAGTACAAGAAAAGAACTTGTAATGAGAAATATAATAAATTGGTAGAATTTTCCTTCTTTTCATCCTGAAGGAGCTTACAAAGGCCGGACCTAAAAAAAATTGGCTAAGGTAAAGGACTTTTAATCCACAAAGAGTATATACGGCAGTTCTCCATAATTTTGTGGAATTTGGTGCAACTACAAAAATAACAGTCACAAATTCCTAGCATTAACATCATCATTCAAAAAAAAAAAAAAAAAATCTGCATGATGTGATAAACTGATAATGACATTTTACTCCAATCAGAACCAAATGGAGAGCTAAAATATCAGGAGCAAAACTTTCAGTTAATTGAGAACTCAACAGAAGGCAAGATCATAGTCAAAAAATGGGTATAATCTCTAGAAAGAATAGCTAACAGTCAATAACATATTATAACAAATTAACTTACTTTATTGGACAGGGAGAAAACTAGGACATCAATCGCCAGACTTGTTTTTTGTTAATACAAATGGCAGGAAGAGAATATAATCTAGAAGGTAGATGACAGAGATCCCAATGCAATAAAGGATGAATAAGCCATCAGAATTTAGCCAAATAAAATTTTGCTACAATCATCTAATTAAGGACTAGGTTATCTTTTTAAGTTGCACTTCAGTGTCAATATTTACTCATAAAATATTATAATCAGATAATGTTACACGAGTACTTCTCATACTCCCCCATTCAGAGTTACTATCCTAATTGCAAATTTGAAACAATTTTTATGACCCAGTCTATGTTTCAAGATCAAGTCTACTGTCTATTTCATACAAGAATCAGGTCAACTAGTAATCCTCATTCTTTCATTTCAGTGTGACAGCAAACCAGATGAAATTGCCAAGAAGTTGTAGCTCAGCATAACCTGAACTAGCATGATGACACTCTCATGCAACAACATTAACTTGCAGGGCATGCGTGTGAAATAAGATGCAGAGTTTACGTTCAGCCAATACTTGGAAAGGGAGAAGTATAAGCAGCAGGAAAGAAAAATGAACAGCATTCTTTATAGTTTAATCTGAATTCTTGCAGGTAAGCATAGTTACCAATGCAACAAAAAAACGGACAGCTACACTTGAAGACTTGATCTCTGGAGATTGCATCCATGTTTTTCTCACTGCCATGCGTTCTGCAAAATGATTGGTAGCTGAAAGTACACCAATGAAAAGTCGAATAGGTTTCTTGGGCAAAGGGGGAGCTTTCCATTTTGCTGACATCTCCAACACTTGTTGCGGAGAGAAACTGGGATGACTAGAAGGTAGTGAAGTCACATAAATGAAATGAACATCCACATCACCTTGCACTGCTAAACCAGTTGCATCTTCAAGAGTGAATCCCTGAATAATAATGAAAGTCAGCACTCATGCTCATTAATGGATGTGCCATATTATTAGACCAAAAAACATTAAAATCAAAGCCGGCAAATGGTTTATCATGATACAAATAGCGAATAACCTTGGGGCGCAACAAATAGAATATAACGTTTAAAAAATGTAATAAGCGAGAGTAACCCTTTAATTTACACGCACAACTTCTCAAGCCAACTTCATAGCCAGATACCATTCATATTCGCTGAAAAGTATAACATGCACAGTGGGAATTATATTGAACTTCAAAGATGAAAAACAAGTGGCACAAAGAACAGAGTACATTTTCTGCAAATTTCAGAGTAAACAGCAACAGTTGAATTTTTTTTTTTTTAGTTCCAAAAAAAACGAATCTTGATAGTACCTGAGAAGTATGTCCAAAACTATAATAATAGTAGTAAATAATTACTCTCTCCATCCTGAATTAGTCGCACTAGTTTGACCGAGGCATGACAGTATGAAGAACAATCAAAATGCTTTTGTAGTGGATTTTTTTTTTTTTTTTTTTTTTGAAAAAAAGTTAAGAGGGAAGTCTGCCCTTGTTTTTTAAAAAGTGTGAGCGGGAATCTTTTTATTCTGATTTTTTTTTTTTAGTAAGATGTACTCCCTCCGTCCCTAAATTACATTCCTACTTCTCTTATGTGAGGTATTGACACTAGAAGTAGGAATGTAATTTAGGGATGGAGGGAGTAAGTAAAGTTATTCAAATGTGAGTAAGAGAAATAAGTAAATAGTGGGTCCTTTTCCTTTGTAGATGTATTGCAAGCAATCTGGGACGACTCTAAGGAATGTGGTGCAATTAAGCCATGACAGAGGAAATATGAAATACAAACTTGAATATGAGAAAACAGTTAAAAGATAACATAATGAAGATTATCAAAGATAGCGCAGGATATCTTAGAATATGCAATCAATTTTATGAGCCAGATGGAATGAAAAAGGAAAGTAAAGAACAATGAAAGACAGAACTAGCAGACAAGAGAGTAGAATCCTGTGCACAAAAAGGGAGATGAGCATATTGGGAGAAAAAAAAAAATCTGTGGCAAACACCCTTAATTACCCGCAAATCAAAACCAACTTAATTAAGTTGATATGGTCATACAAAAACATGACTTCAATCACTTCATAAATCATAATTAAGGCTCGTGGCTTGGCAAATGGGATATACTGGCTCACCATTGATTATACATGATAAAACTAATTCTAGCAAAGATCATTTAGTGGTTCTATAAATTACACCTTGTGCCTTGAGCAAAATTTAAAGCGATACTTTTACAGTTATTTACAAGCTAGCTGACCATAAAGTAGGAAATCACATAAGACAAAATTATATAACCAACAAGATTTTTAATGAAATAAAAATTGCAATTGACATACCATTCGGTAGGGAAATGAGGAAACATGTCGACCCCCGACATTGATATGATATCCTTCAATGCCAGCACGGATAGTGAGGATAAACATTTTACCCTCTGCAAAAGGAAATGGCCAAAGTAATTCTGGTTTATGCTTGCGACCTATAAATCGCTTGAACCATGAGGTCGTTTTGGACTCCTTCGGATCAACCACATCACTTGACATCCACTTTTCACATCTCTTGTGTCCATCAACTGTGAAAAAGCACATTATAACTTTAATAATTCCTAACCCATAACATTAAAGCAAGCAAGATAGATGTCACAAAGTCATTGGTTGCTGCATATCTGCTTTACCTTGCAACACCTACATCATATCTTCAGTTTATTCAGCTGATGAAAAAATGGGATTGACTTTTAGGATCCGATGCTAAGAAATGCAAGAAAGCCAGTTGATACACTACATAAAAATTCTGTTAATTGTTGATGGAATTGACTGTTTGGTTTAGACACTCTACTCAGGGGAGGAAGAAAGGCAAAGAAAGGAGTTGAAACCGCTTCATTAATGATGGATTCATTGCTACAAAACTCTAATGAACTAATTTTTACCAATCATCCTTTGAAGGAGGCAGAGGAAGGTGAGGGGATGATCACTCAGCAAAATAAACAATCAAGCAGGCAGGTAAGGAAGGGGGTGGGAAGGATTTTCTCAACCAGGTTATAGTTCGTATAGAACTTAGTTGGCAATGCATTCTGCAGGACAGTCCTCTTACTACTTTAGGTTCCTTTTTATAGTCAGTAATTGTAATTAGTAAATATTAAAATTTTCAGTTTGCTAAACCATGTGCATGCTTTCTTATAGTACTTTTAAACTGCCCAACATTAAAAAAAGATAACAAAAACAAAAGTACGTAGTATATAACTTTTAAGCTCAAACTTTGAAATTCATCTATATACTAATAATTGCAGCCTCCAAATTCAAGATAAAGTAAATCCTCAATTATCTAACAAGCCCAAAGCACACCAATGACATCCCTACTTGGGCCAGCACTAAGAAGATCAACCCGCAGTCCGTGGGAGACAACTAATGACCTTGATAATTCTATCAAAACCTACTCGGCCACCATTATTACATACTTTCTCCGTCTTATTAGTTGCAACACTTTTGTTTTCACGGTCTCCTAGGCAATTTTTGAAGAGGAGAGAGATAGAGAGAAAGAGGGACCCATGTGGGTAGGAGAGAGATAAAGAGAAATAAATGTCAAAAATAGAAGTGTTGCAAGTAATTAACAATTTCCAGAACAGGAAAGTGCTGCAACTAAAAAGAAACAGAGGAAGTATTTACTATAAATTAGCTAGTATTTTAGTCCTAAAAACCATATTCAATTATTCGAATGAAGAGGCATTAAAATAAAACTAGAACGGATAATGTACAGAGTGGCCACTTATTCTGGTTCATTGTCAAACAACAGCATATAATTTTAAGTGCTATCTGCTATGGCTTTCTTTTGATCAGAAAGCCCCTAATTTTGAAGTTCTTATCAAAACTAACTATATAAACCTACTTTTGGTTGTGAAATGAGCTTTTTCTAAGGAAAGTTGTGAAATGAGCTTGGTTGTCCTTGTCTCAACTTAGTGAACCAATTTTTCCTTAAAATTTAATTTATTAAGGTGAAAAGCGATAGACATACGTATTGAGATAGGAATGTGTACCTGTATATGTTGATATGACATTATGAGGATATTGTCATGAGATATTTTTGTAATACTAGGAGTCTAGTATTAAGAGATATAATAAAACAAAAAGATATTATGTGATATATTCTGTTAAGATATTTAGGACTATTAGCATTTGATATCCTATTGTCTATATATTTTGTAATGTTGCCGAATATTATGAACAATAAATACAGAGAATTATTGGAGACCTAATTTAACATTAGGCCTTACACAAATATACAATGAGTACCTTCCTCTTGAGCTAACACGCTGTATCAAGCTATAGTAGATAAATAATCCTCCATTAAGCATTACTTATTATCTTTGCTAACTTTAATATACAAATACACAGAATATGTGACAGTATTAATATGTCCCTTTATGGTACCAATGTGACACAGTATTTTGAACACCAATGTATTAACTAACAACTCCTTAATTATTGTGTGTAATCTTTAAACACCTTATGGTGAAATGAAGGAAACGGTTGTACACAGAAAAGAAACTGAACTTTAAGAGAAAGCCTTAGCTGCCTTACCGAGAAAATGTTCATCCTTCGCTGACGGTGAACCATCACATCTGTGAGATTTTCCCCATTGCATCCTGTAGCAGGTGTTATGCTCAATGACTGCTCGGCGACTCCAATCCCCTCTCACTCTAGGATTGAGATGCAAAATTTTTGGTGGAGCCTCCCCTTCCACCGATTTTAACCCCTGCAATTCTACACTGAACTGTGAAACCATGACCAAGGGATTACCATTCCTGAATTTTGCAAGCTGAGGTACAAACTCTCGATGAGCATAATGTGGTGTGCCAACTACTGTAATAGAAGAGCCTGCAGCAAGCCCACAAGGAAGAAATGTGACATTGTCTCGAGTCACCATATCCTCCCCACTTGTAGCTATCCATGAAGGACAGGACTCTGGCTTCCCTTCAAGAGCAGTATTCTCACTTATGTCCACAATATCATAATTTTCCAATTCTTCCCATGCCTTTAAGCCCAAAGTCCAAGCTTCATCTACAAGTTTCTCCAATTCAGACAACTCTATGGTCCTATTTATCTTCATCAAGGAACCATTTGTGATTCGGCCATATCGATGTCTAAGAGGTCTAATTGGTTGCGACCCACTTTCCAACAATTTCCCATCTGACAACAACTGTACATCTTGGTTGTGATTATCCTCCAATTTCCTATGAAATGTATCTTTTTGAATCGAAATAACCGACCCCTTGTTCACACCTTCACCATCTAAACCTACTTTACCAACATTATTATAGCTATCTTCCCCACTTAATCCAGAAGCAATCTCTAAAAGCTCAGGAAACTTAAATGCAATAAAACCCAAGTAGAGTACAGCTAAAACCAACAAAAAGTATGACAATCTAAATCTCTTAGGACCGGCAAGGTCCACTTTTTGCCTCTTCATTTTTATTTCATACACAATAAACTAGCAAAATGCAGCAATCCTTCATTTAAGCCTAATTTTCAAACATCCCATCATACTGCCCAATTTAAGCAAAAAAACCAACTAATTCTTGCATTCTCACAAGTTTAAAACTCGAAACGATCCTAAATGGTAACAAAATCTTCAATAGGAATTACAATCAACCAGCAACTCTTCATTAACGCTTAAAATCAAACATACCCATTTCTAATTGAAGCAAAATCTACCCAATTTAAGTAAAAAAAATAAAAAAAAAAAAATAAAAAAAAAAACAGTAATTCTAGCATGCAAAAAAGCTCAAAATCTAAAACGATCGCAAAATCTTCAATACCATTAATAACCCACCAGTTACAAGAATGTGAAATAAGGAATTATTGACATGTGAACAACAATAAATCAACCAAAACTATCAAAAATTGTTGCTATCAAAAGAAACCCGTGTAAATCAACCAATGAGCAGACCATTTATATAGGTGAAAATGATGGGGTTACAATGCTTAAATTGCAAACAAAAAATGCATTAAATCAAAAGTGATTAGATAATCTGTCACCTGGGAAAAAAAAGTTACCAGAAGAAGTAGTAAAATGTGAGAAAATAACCCTCTAAAAATGGTGAATAAATGAATTTGAGAGAGTTTGGGGAAATATTCTATAAATGGTACTGTAGAAAATGGAAATAAAGAGAGTATGAATCTGAGAAGAATTGGAAAAGCAAGCAGCAATTTCGAACGCCTTCTGTCGTGTAATTGAGGTTGCATCTTCACCATGGCCTACAATTACGGTCCGTATGTTCCATCAAATATTTTCATTTTTTAATTATTTAAAATTAAAATTAAGGCAATTTTCTATGCTCCGTATAAAACAGGTTCTAATATAATACTCCCTCAATTGATAAATCGAAAAAAAAAAAAAGGTAATAAAATATAAATGTAATAGGGTTGGTGAACCATACAAAATTATTAAAAGCAAAATTAGGTGAGGGAATCGGAGGATAGAGAATATCAAACTAATAAAATATGATTTATATTGGTCCCTAGTTAAGATAAATGAATTAAATATAATAAAAAAAATTCAAAAAAGAAAATGGAGCAAGTATTAAAAACGACTGAAAATCGAATGTGGAACAAGTATTTAAAAACAGAGGGAGTATTGACTATCATAAGTAGTAATGTCAATCACCAAGCAAAGGTTAGTCTATTGGTAAGGTTTGTCACCTCACAACCAAAAGTTTGTGGGATCAAACCCCACTAGAAATAATTAGGGGTGGTGATTCCCTTACTAGAAATAGAACCTGTGAGAGATTCTGGCCCGGTAAGACCCTTCTTCTTCCCGTAAAATAAAAAATTAAAAAAAAAAGAATAAGAAAAAAAAAATAGCCCTGTCAATTCGATTCGATGGTTCGACCTGGGTTGAATCGATTTCAATTTGAAATGGGCTGGGTTGAAATGATGAGTTCATTTAGTTAGCAGGTTGGGTCATTCTATTTCTGATTATTTATTAGTCAGCTCGGTTTTGTTTGACTTTTGTACAGTTTTAATTCGGTTTAGGTCGTAAACAGCTCAGATTTTAAACAGTTCGGGTGATTATTAAATTGGTTGAAATGGGTCGGTTTTAAAATGGGTGTATCCAAGTGTTGAGGTAAATATTTTTTTTTACCAACTAGTCAAATACCCTATCTTATTCTAGAGTATTAAGGGTTTGGTTTAAAATGATAACCTCGCTAATGTAACACAAAAAGTAAGAAGCTATCCTCCAAAAAGTTTTAGAAAAGTTGGATTGCTAAAGAAATCAATAGATGAACATATGATAAAAGAAACTACCTTCGTTAATTGTTATCTGCAACTTTAGGGTATTTGTGAGACATAAACAATTCCAAAGTTGCATATAACAATTAACATTGATAGTACATACGATTTCTATCAATTAAAAGATAAAGTTAGGACTATAATTTGTACAATTAAGGTGAAGGAAATATTACCTCTATATTTATACAATTGGAATAAACTATCAATCTGAAATCTGAATACATGCTAAGTAAACTACCATGTTACTTGGTATCAAGAGCCTAGGTTATTAGCCTAGAAAGATCCTACCTTTTTGAATTTCTCTTTCCCCTCTCAAAAGATCTCATCTTTTCCCACAAAAATTTGAAAATTCTCTCAAAAATACAAGCTTCTATCTTGAAACATGGGTGATAGATACTATTATGAAGATGATAAAGGTTACAATGAAAACTCTAGATTGAATGCTCTAGAAAGGAAGTTTGATAGACTTTTTGAGGTCTTGGAGAATAGAAGAAGGAGGAGCCCTAGTGAAGAAGATGATGAAAGGAATGGTGTCCTTCGAACAAGTGTATTATTCTGATAGTGGGTTCAAAATTATTAGAAAGCTAATAAATTCAGTAAGGTCAAGTGATCGAAATGCCTAGGTGGAGGTCGCTTCCGATCAGTAATATTAATGCATAATTAATATTATAGCTTAATCTTGACTGAACCCTTCGGGTCACACCCAAGCAATGAACGAACCGACACGACGAATTAATTCGGAAGAAATTAATGAGTGCCCGAGTAATTAATATTTAGACGTCCGAAATTCGAGCTTGGAGCGTCGAAACCGAGCGTCGGAGAATCTCAAATGTCGAGCCAAAATTTAGGATTTGGAAATACGGGAAAATGCTTCAAGTAACAAGTGGCAGCGTGCCATGTTGGCAGCGCGCCACGGTGGTGGCACGTGTGGCAAGGGGCTGTGGACCCGGGTGATGGGTCATGGATACGGGCCAAAAGAAAGTGGCCTAATCGAACCCAACTTGGGGCTCAAGGTTGGGTGACACATGGTTAGTGCACAATGCATGTGAAATGCCTTGGGGACCAAGTGAGAAAGTGGTCCTCACCTAACCATGTGACACTTGTTACTTGTTCCTTGGTTTATTTAACTAAGGGTTGAATTCATCAATCTTTCCATGTGGGATCTTTTTGTGAAAAAGTCCCACATTGAAAGATGAGTGGAATTCACAAGCTATCCTTCCTTATAAATAGTCAAAGCATGGCTTCAGAATTCTTTTTGAGTAGGAGTTCAATAGGGCATTGCCTTTGCAAAACCCCTTAAACTCATGTAATACTCGGGTTTTGGTCGGGCCTCGTTAACCTCGAGGCAACGAACCTAAAAGTCGGTAGTTGTTCTTCCGGGTGGATTTCCGTTGGAGGCTCTCGTGTTTTCGGGGCTAAGCTTTCAAGTAAGAGCCCATTTGGTCAGGCGAAGCACGCTCCTAAAGGTAATCGCTTTATCTTAATCTTGTGTTTAATTTAATTATGTTTATGGTTTTATTTATTGCGAGTGTTGTCTTGTTTTTGGGTTTGATTCCGCGGTGAGTCGGACTCACCAAACCCCAACAGATGACTCTCACTCTCCTCGCCGGAGAAGGGAACACCGCCAACGACACCATGAGGACAACAGTGACGGAGACATCAAGTTGGAATTTCCGGACTTTGAATGTAATCTTGATCCTAATGAATTTCTTGATTGGGTTAGGAGTATGGAGAATGTGTTTGAATATAAGGGTTATAATGATGAAAAACGTTTCAAATTGGCCATCCTTAAACTCAAAAAACATGCTTCTTTATGGTATGAGATCTTAAAGAATCATAGGAAGAAAGATGGAAAATAAAAAATCACTTCTTGGGAGAAATTGAAGAAACATATGAACAAGGCCTTTGTGCCTAAAGATTATTTGCAAGATGCTTATCTTAACTTGAACTCTCTTAAGCAAGGAACTATGTCGGTAGAGAAGTATACTAGGGAGTTTGAGAAACTTTCTATCATAAGTGGAATTAAAGAAGCACCGGAGCATAAGATTGCTAGGTATAGTGGTGGTCTTGAAAGAAAGCTTGGGCAAAAGGTTGATGTGCATGCCCATGGAAGTTTTGATCAAGTGGTGCAACAAACTTTGAAGTTTGAGAAGTATGACAAGGTTAGTAGTGCTAGTGGGTATACTAAGCCTACCTTCAAGAGTTCTTTTGCTCCAAAGGGTGAGACAAGCAAGCCCATTTCCAAGGATGACAAAGGCAAGACTCCCATGTACTCTTCTAGAAAAGATGATCACAACAAGATGAGCAGTCGGAAGACTTGCTACAAGTGTAGGGGTTATGGAAATTTTGCTAATGAGTGTCCAAATAGTAGGGCTATGATGATTCGTGAAATGGATGATGATGATTACGAAGATGAGAAGAGGGATTTTGGAGACCCTATATATGATGAAGAGGATGAGATTCTAGTTGAAGCCGATGAGGGTCAAATCCTTGTTGTGAGGAGGGCACTTCACTCTATTTCTACCCCTTTGGCGGAAGAGCAAAGGGAAAACATCTTCCAAACTCGTTGCACCATCAAGGATCAAGTTTGCAACCTTATCATTGATAGTGGCTCTTGCACTAATGTGGCTTCAACAACATTGGTGAGCAAGCTCAATCTTGAAACTACCGATGATCCTACTTCCTACAAGATTCAATGGCTTAACAATCACAATGAGGTGAAGGTAACAAAACAAACTCTTCTTTCTTTCTCAATTGGCAAGCTATATAAGGATGAGGTGCTTTGTGATGTATTGCCTATGGATACTTGTCATGTATTGCTTGGTAGACCTTGGAAATTTAATAGAGGTGTAATGCATGATGGAAGAAAGAACACTTATTCATTCATGATGGATAAGAAGAAGATTGTACTCAACCCCTTGTCCCCCACCATCAAACATAAAGAACCTTGGGTACGGGAAACACAATTCAAGAGAACCTTCTCATTGGGGAAAATGAGATGGGAAAGGAGATAAATCAAGGACACCTTGTCTTTATTTGTCTTCTTAGGGAAACACAAGAGAGTGAGCGAGAGAACCCAATCCACCCCCTTGTCAAGGAAGTATTGGTTGAGTACCATGATGTTTATCCCGATGATCTCCCCCCCGGTTTGCCACCTATTAGGGGAATTGAGCATCAAATCGATCTTATTCCCGGATCACAACTCCCTAATATACCGGCTTATAGGTGTACCCCCAATGAAGCAAGAGAGCTTCAAAGACAAGTTGGTGAGTTGATTGAAAGAGGATTTGTGAGGGAATCCCTTAACCCTTGTTCGGTTCCGGATCTTTTGGTTCCGAAAAAGGATGGTACATGGAGGATGTGTGTGGATAGTAGGGTCATCAATAACATCATCATCAAGTATCGCTTCCCTATTCCCCGACTTGATGATATGCTTGATGATTATATGGTTCCAAGGTGTTTTCGACGATTGACTTGAGGATGGGTTACCGTCAAATATGTATGCGTGAAGGAGATGAGTGGAAGACCGCTTTCAAGACAAAGCAAGGCTTGTATGAGTGGATAGTTATGCCATTTGGGCTCTCTAATGCTCCTAGCACTTTCATGAGGCTCATGAATGAGGTACTTCACCCCTTCATTGGTAAATTTGTTCTTGTTTATTTTGATGACATACTTGTTTATAACAAATGTGAACATGATAATGTTAAACATTTGAGGCAAGTATTTGAAATATTGAGAAGTAGGCGACTTTTTGCCAAGTTGGAAAAGTGTACTTTTATGGTGGATAGTATTGTTTTTCTTGGTTATGTGATTTCGCATGTAGGGATCTCAATGGACCCTAGTAAAGTGGAGGCCATTCAATCTTGGCCTACTCCTATTACTCTCACTCAAGTTAGGAGTTTCCATAGCCTAGCTTCCTTCTATCGAAGGTTTGTGAAGAATTTTAGCATTATTTTGGCCCCAATGACCGAATGCATGAAGAAGGGTACTTTTGAGTGGACACCATCGACTCAAAGGGCTTTTTAGACCCTCAAGAAGAAATTGTGTGAGGCTCTAATCTTAGCTCTTCCGAATTTTGATCAACCCTTCACTAGGTGAAAATACGAAATTGGCACCGGTTCAAAACCCCTCAAAGCCACCGGTTTGAACCGGTGCCAATGTGGGGGGTGCCAATTACTAGCTTGAAACATCGATTCAAACCGGTGGCAAAAATGATTATTGGCACCGGTTAACCGGTGCCAAAAATGGCCC